GAGACAGGGAACAATGCGACGGCAGCCACAAGTCGTGTTTGTCATGTTCCAAGGTGCAGCTGAATTGCCTATACACCTTTCCAGCGGAAGTCTCGAATGAAGCGATTTCCAGCGCGCGTCCCTGGTTTTGGGAGTGTACGTCATCGTTGTCCGTCTCCGCTGGCCTGGGCTGTGGCTTTTCTCGTCAGTGGGCCGTGACAGCCTGCGTAAGCGCAATTCCGGAGGCTGGGGGGGGGCGGCTAAATTGAGAATTGTATTTGTACATTTGTGTTTTACGGTGAATACAATTTCTCGAGGTTTTTAAGAAAGCATTGAACTATTTTTGAGAGCAAAACCAAACAAATAAAAGCTATTTCTGGTGAGTCCGTGCGAGAGAGAACAAATGCAACTAGAATGTTTGTTTCATTTTATGTAGATTTTTTTTACGACACCGTACACTCAGCCGTGTCAATCTACAAAGGTCTTAACTGTCAAACATATTTGGCCACACAGGATAACCGAACTGCATCAGTGTTCCCCGCGCACAACATAAAATTCAACCAGTCTCATCAATCGAACAACTTATACTGTAAGTAACCCACGTACAATTACTGGACTCACTAACTGGTAGCGAAACGAGTCAACCATATTCAAATAAATATAATACAATCAATCCGTTATTAAGATTATCGCGTCTCAAATGAAACTGGAGATAAAGAGTGGGAACGTTAATGTGCAGTGAACAAATCTAATCGACGCCACAGGTCAAATAAGCATGAAGGAGACGTTTCATAATTTTGACTAATATGTACTAAATGTGTCAAGGCATGGCATAAGCTATGCACTTTAGTCCACAGCGATTACCGCTGCGGCTCTACATCGACACAAAGAAGGTGGCGGTCGTCCTTCCAAGCGAAAGCTCGCGCTGCAGAACCCAGGGATCCTGGGTTCGAGCCCCACCCCTGCCCGTTTCGATCTGGATGAGCATCGTACCGGCGTGCGGTCGTGTATCACTACTGCGTGATGCACGTTAAAGACCCCAGGCTAGCGGCTGTACTGCACTGGCTAAATGTCTCATCTACAGCTGGGAGACTCGTCGCCCCTGTGAGGCAGACCAAGTTCTAGGCTGTATAAACACACACACAACCCAATTTTTTTTTTTCGTCCTTCCGAACACCGATTAGAAATACGATACTAATTCATCGGATTCGATGCGCCACGTGCGTCCGACACGGACAAAACATGCTGCCCTTTTTTTCCCATACTTGTTCCTTGAACGCTTCGCGGAATACTAATTCCGGTGGGGTCCCATGTACAACGGCGTCGCACAACGGGACTCTACGAACTATGATAGAAAGTCTCTTCTCTTCTCCCCTTCTCCTCTCCTCTAAGTTTTGTCTTTCGTACCGTTGCAAAGAACCAAAAAAAAAAAGTGTCTTAGGGGATGACTCATTTCTTTAATGAAGCCCGAGCAACTCCAACATTGGTGAGAGAAGCAACACCACACTCTAATAATGTCTCCGTTATTACCAAAGTTTTCGCTCGCACCGCTCTCTCTATCTTGTTTCGCTTTTTTGTTTTCAACTCGACTCGTGTTCCGTCTCTCTTTTTTCGGGAGCATTCATCTGGGAGCCATGATTCGAGGAGTTTCTGCTGTCTTCGGTCGGAGCCCGTTTCTTTCTTTTGCGAGTTCAAACTTTCTGTCCTGATTTGTATGCGAAAGAAGGGGCGTTTCTTTGTTCCGACCGAGTTGGAGCGCGCGGACGGGACAGCCTTCTGCCTTCCGTCTGTACTCCCCTTCTCACTCTTGGTTTTTTTTTTCCTTGCTGGGCCTTTGTCGGGAAAGTCGTTCTGTCGTTTCCTCATTATTACTTTTGGGAGCTCTCCGCAAAGGAGCCATGTTGCTCGTTTGTCCCCTCTGCGGATGCACTTTCGGAATCCCAATGAGGGGACGACTCCTCCTCCGACACAAGCCAAGAAGAAACAAGCCCCAAAGTCGGAAAAGAAAGCGAGCCCAGCTTCGTTAGCCAATTAGTCCCTTCTTTTGGAGTCGAGCGACGGACCTATAGTCCTAGACTCCCCGTGCACCCGAGACTTTTTCGACAATGGCCCGAGGAGTCTGGATTCTCTGTCAGGAACGATGCTGTCTTAGGAGAAGGAGCGAGAGCGGACGAGAGTACTAAAGTTTTTTTGTTTTTTTTTGTCTCGCTTTATTTTTTTTTTTGTTTCAATGTTTCTCTAAAAAAAGAAAAGAAAAAGTCCCGCGTCTTCTTCATGGTCCACGATTTGCCTGAAAATTTGCTAAATACAGCAACAAACATCGCTGAAATAGTATCCCCAAACATTAGGCCAAATTACTTTTTTTCCCCGCGAAATCATTGAATTTACAATTTTAGACCTCACCGTGTTTTTGAAACTGAAAGTCTCTACTGGTGACAATGAAAAAGTGACGCCAGGTGCAGGCAGGGGTTCACTCACTCTTTGGTGTGTAGGATTTGTTCCCAACAGAGTACGAGCACTTTCGTGGTATCAAATGGCTGCTTTGGAAGCTCGCTCCAGCACCCACGAAGCAGCACGGCATAGTCCTTTTTGTTTTACTGCCTTCCACGACTTGCAGCCTGCCTGCCACTGACGTGACGGCACCGAAAAACGCGAATATATTTGAAAGTTTTTTTTTCTGTTTTTTTTTTTTTGCAACATCTTTGTTTGCCGATTTCACAATTACTAATTTGAGTTTCTCAATACTAAAGAGCATACGGGAAAGGGTAAAAGCCGGGGATTCAGAAAATATTGGTAGTTGGGGTAGCTCGTGTCCAATTTTCAAAAAAGCCCATCAGACTTTCTCATCGTCTGCGACACTCAGGAGCGCAGGCGTCCAGGCCAGAGAGGGCGCTGCTGTTCAAGGACAGCAGGCCACCGACAGGCGAAGATTCCCCGAAGGGAAGTACGAAGTCCCGCAGCTTCACGTTCACTAATCTGCCTGCTCACCCGTTCAGTGGCAAACCTGTCGGGGTTTGGGGCCTTTCCCCGCACTTCTCTGGCATGGACTCGGAGGCGCTCAAGGCGACAATTGCAAACGCATTTTCCATAATCCGTCGTTCAGGTCGGTCTACGGACGTCTTCAGTCCTATCAAAGCATCGACTTTTACAATGGATCTTTTCCCACTAAGCCTCTGCGCGTGCCCACCTCTCCTGACCTTGCTTCCCGCTGACGCGTTTTCGAAGGGTACTGTCCGGCACGACCAACGTGGTCAGCATTTTCGTCTCTTTCGACGATTCCGTATTGAGCATCGGTAGTATGGGACGTAAAAAACAATAAAAATCGATACAACGGGATGATGCCAATGAGGTAATTTGCAGCTCACAAGCTACCCCCCCCCCCCCCCCCCCCCCCCCGAATACGGTCTTCGTTAAGGGAAAAAATCTCCATAGGTGAACCGTGCATCGTGCCCACTCAATGGCGATGTGCCACAGTGTCGACTGGCAAATGGAAAAGCCTGGGGGTGTCGCTGTACCGTCCCAAAGCCGACGTGACGAACAGCGAACTGTAGTGGTAATCGCTCCCTCAATTCTGAAATAACGTCGGCTGTGAAAAAAAAAAAAAAAAAGAAAGGGATGCCGCTTTTGGTTTAACGTTCCTCGAGCGCCTGCCTTGTGCAGCAAGGATGATTGTGAAGAAGCAGGAAACTCGACTGCACACGTTTATCCCTAATGTTTATCACACGAAAAAAAAAAAAAAAAATCGTGTCTCGCTCTTTTGGCGTTATTATGCCCGGAAATTACCGTGACCAAATATTTGATTAATTTATCAAATAGAAGGTGCCGTATAATTGGGTTAAAATTTTAATCGATTCCCATCGCTAGTTTATTCGCGACACCGGCAAAACGGACTGCACCTAGCGGAAGAAACACTGAACTGGCCGGAACAGGCCCTTTCGCGATTTCTGCTTGTCTCTTGGGGCTGCCGTGATTACATGTTGTCTGTGGTTTGCGAGATGGAACAGTTGTCCCGGCAACTCTTTCGTAGCTGTAGTAGCAGCTTTTTCCCAGGTTCGCTCTGCACTCAACCGACGCAACCGCGTGAACCAGACTTGGGATAAAATGCGGGGCAAGCCATTTTGAGTCCAGTGGACGCTCGCTGATGCCCCCAGCGTTGTGCGTTATGAAACTTGCACGTGGCACGGCACGAGCTGTGATTAGACCGCCATATCTTCCCCATAATGGCGTCCCCTATACGTCGCTGGAGTCGCGAATAGAGATGCGAAGCGCCATCATCCGGTCACTACACGCAGACATTGTATACGCGCGTATTTACACGTGTTGGTAGGGGGAAAAAAAATGAAAGTAACGAGTGTCCATGCACAACCTACAAAGATTTAAAAAAAAAATCCTACAAATCACCAACTTAGCCGACACTGGTAGGAATACCTGCCTAGTGTGTTAAAGACCGACGACCAGTTCGCGCCTTCTACTTTTTTCCCGCTTCCTCCTCTCCCCCCTTCTAGCCTGTCCACCGTTGCCTGCTTCCTCCTCCCCAATGGTGAGGAGGATCTTCTGCCTTGCAGAATCTCGTGTCTGGTCGTCGGCCTTTAAGACACAGGTAGCACTGCTCGAATGCATCAACCAAAAGACATAATGTAAACATGATGGCATAATTATCTGCGGATCACGCCTCACGAATGTTCGCAGCATGTTTGCTTCATACACGTGCATGACTAGATGATGGTTTGCAGACAGTGTTTGTATGGCCAATGTGACCGTCACACAAGGAAGACCTCAGCCAGTGTCTGCGAACCGCCTCTTGTACGACGTATATTAGCAGAGTGTGATCGCAGTTTTAGAATTCTGCGAGGCGACAAGCAACGTTTCGTGAACGTTGTCTGCAAACACTGCGTAACGTTGTCTCCAAACATGAAGGGGTTACATTTTTTAAAACAGACGAACTCGTAAAACTCTGTATTAAATTATTTTTTTTTTGTCTTCGATACGTTGTCTACAAACATGGTGTCAACTGTGCGCAGGCGAACGGCTTCGACCTGAAGGAGAACTTGGAAGCCTGGCGAAACCTCCCCTACGCAGCGTCCATGTACTATCCTTACGACTCGGCCGCCATCGCCGGCTACCCCTTTGCCAACGGGTGAGTCCACAATTTCTTTCTTTTTCCGGCGAGTGCTTGATTACTTTTGCTCGCGCATACTGACGTCAAGGAATGACTTTGCGAGTTTAGAGTGAAGGGGCATTTAAAATATTCACTATAAAAGAGGTGATTGCGTTAATCAGAAAGTTTACACATTAACGTCGATCAACTCACGAGCATGGATAGAAACAGAGGAGACGCGAACCCTGGGCATCCAACTCCTCAGTTTTTGTCCCTCAACGTATGCTGAAGTACTCGTAGTAACCATAAATTGCTTTAACGTTCACGTGGTTTGCAGTGCTCCTGTGTCTTTTGCGCAGTCGATAGCGTTTTGGTTAATTTATCTGAATATGGTTTTCCTTTGCTCAGTCAGTACACGAAAGTTGTTAGATCAATAACAGGAGGTGGACAGAATAAGTAATTAAGGCCGAGAAGAAACATCCGCAAATTCAGGTAGACGGCTCCGACTCCCTCGAGTTCGGTAGAGCAGTCAACTCTACCCAACTCGAAGATGTTGATCGTGAGGGCGCTGCTCCAGCCAGAGGCCCAGGCCTGGTGCGGTATACCGGACCTCTTGACCGGGGCTGCACAAACGCCGCTCGGTGTTCGTGCAGCAGGTGGCAAACAAACAATCCTGATCAAAGCGTCGTACTTTCGGCTCAAGGAATGCGTGTCCCCGTTTTCATATCCAGGCAGGAGCGCGATGCAATGCCCCCGGGAGCCCCCGCCACCCCCTTCCCCCGCGACGCTTCTCCAATACAAAACGAAATTGCATCAATCGCTCGGGGCATTCTTCGTGGACCTTTTTCTATTGGAGGAGCAGGGCCGTCATTCCTCTGGCGTGCTTTAGATTCCGCGTCACTTCATGGCGCCCCCAGTTTTCGCGAAACCCGAACCGAGCTTCGGAGCTCCGCAAAAAAACCTACAGACTCCCTCCTCCCGCCAGCCTCCGGGAGTCACTCTCCACTCCTCCGGCTGTCTGTTTATACACAGCGCGTTGCCCCTCCTCGTGGATTTCTCTTTCTGCCTCTTCTCCGGCGTGTCGTCCTTGCCTCTTCAGGGTTCGGTGTTTGCATAAAACCGGTCCCGGTCACACGAGGAAGTGACGCAGATGCCGGCAAGCCACACGCATGCACGCCATTCAACGCCACACAGAGGCAGCGACGCAAGTCAGCACGCTGTCGCTGCACATTTGCGCGTGCACGGGGGCGCTGCGGTCGACGCCACTCTAAGGCTAAGCCGCCGCAATGGCAGAAGAGAGGGGACCCCAGGTTTTATTCTGGTTTTCCTCTTTATAATGACAAACACGAATTTCGCGTGCCGCTTGGGCGTCCGGTTTCCAGTTGAGTTCGCAGCTTCGAAAATTGCCGGGTATCGTTGGCTGGGTTAAAATAAAGTGCATCCGGCAAAACGAGAGAAAAAAAAAAGCGTTGCATTATAGGGGGTAGACGGAGTGATAACAATAAAAATAGAAGCAAATAAATAAAAACGCCTTAGCCATCAGTTGCGTCACTCCCCTCCTCCGGTGCGCCCTCCCCCTTTCCCAAATTGGCCTGAAAGGAAATACGTGTTCATACGTCAAACAGCCCCATGGCTCGCCAGCTTCCAGGCGCACGAAATGTAGCGCCCAAATTGTACACAGACACACACATTGATACCTCGGTGTCACGCAACCCGCCTTTGCAGTCGGGAAACCGCTCGCGCATTTTTCTTTCCGCTCCTGGTCTGTTGTTGTTGCTGCTGCTGCTGCTGCTGCTACTGCTGCTGCTGCCGTTGCTGCATGCTTCTGTTCCGAGTATGGGACCACTTGTACAGACACTAAGTTACGTGTTTGGTACTCACCGGAGGTCGCGGGCGACCGTGCATGCGGCTGTGGCTATCGGGGGGTGGCGTGTTTGCCACGAGACGGGGATCGATCGATTTCGGGCCTGGCTACGGGCTATCGGGTCGGCGGCTCCAAACTCGAGCCTCTGCGTCACGGACGGTGGGCGCGGATTCCGGCTTTTCGTGATATGCTCGCGAAGATAGACGCTTTGCGCGTATAGTGGCAGGCCCGTCGTGTAACGACGTGGCTATACTGGACTATAAATAAAGCCCGTCGCTGTTTGGGGAGAGTGCAAACTGTCGGGGTTTCTAAAAGGAGACACATTTTATTTTTTGCGTTCCAAATCGCTCGTTGTGTACGGGAGGGCGCGAGAATGTGTCATGATATCGGGCGCCTTTTGTCGCAAGTTATAAGTTACCGTGCACAAATACGTTTGATCCCCACGTTTTCGGAAGTGAGATGACTAGGCCATACGCATCAATATAGTGTCACCTGTATGCCTATACTCTGGGCACCGCATATTCAATGAATATATACTATTCTTAAGCAATTCGAAAGAGCTAAGGGACGATAAAGATGTGGTTAAAAATGTAATATCTGAGACACGTTTTCATTACAATGAAAGAGCTCATAAAATTAATTGAAGCTACACAAATACCCATTTTAAATCGGTCCCAGTTAAAATTCATTTTTGAATCACTATCTAGCACCACACATTACAACGATGTTTTTAATAGCTTCGTCTAAAACAATATAAAAAGAAAACTCACAAAATAAGTGCTCGGCTTTTCTGGTATGAGCTATAAACCTTTTCCACAAGGGCGCCGCCATCTTGAATTGTCGTCACTTCCAGTATGGGCGAACACATTACTTTGCCGTTGCCACGCCAATAGAAGACATTTAGGACATAAGCCTAACCGTCACACATTCTCGTTTTCGCTCCACTCTATTTTTTTCCTGGTTACAGGTTGAAACGTTTTACTTTTTTTTCCTCGCCCATACTGGAAGTGACGACAATTCAAGATGGCGGCGCCCCTTTGGAAAATGTCTATATATAGCCCGGCCATATTAATGAATCTTAATGTTACGACAGACGAATTTAGACGTAACGAGTGAGGGGGGTAATCACCTGGCTGTAGTCATGAAAAACACACACGGTGACGGTCGCTCTTGGGCAGCCTTTAGCGGGCATTAAAATTCAGTTAGCCAGAGTGCGACAAACCGCTGGCCATCACCTGTCGGTTGCACCACTACAAGCTGCAAACATTACTCCTGCGGTAGCGGCACACAATACACGAGTCATTTCCGTTGCGGAATTATGCCTCTGCCGTCAAAGCAAGGCGCGGACAAGAACGTAATCTTGCTCAGTACGCTACAAAGAAGGGGAAAATGTCGTCGAAAGAGAAAGGACGGTTGCGTCCAAGAACAAAAGGACGCGCTTCGGAAACAAAGGGCGAAGCAAAATGAGGCGATGCAAGCCGACCACGCGAAACGAGAAACAATGGATACATATATTGCATATATTGCTTTCTTTTTTTTACCAGTTTTCTGGCATCGCACACCTTCCGTATGCGTAACGTGTCCTTCGAAAGGAAAACCGAACCTGCTGATCAGCCAGCCGTCTTCACCGAGTGGTGTTATAAGTTCTGCTTTTCAGTATGCCAAAAAAAAAAAAATACACAATTAACTGCCGGATCGTATTTTGGCGATTCGGTTGCATATTTTTCTCTCTGTGAATCAGAGAACAGACATTGTTATGTGCTACTTCCCTCCTGGAGTTTCGGCTGGTTACTTCACTCAGGTACCGCGAAGAATTGCAATCGCGCGTGAGGGAAAGTTGAGAACTTGAGTCAAATCAGGAGTTTGGAGCACCAGGTAGCGCGTGATGCCGGCTTTTACCCGCATTCTGTGTATGGACGGACATTAGGCAAGTATGTCAAATTTGTATGTACGAAATACGAATTCTCACAATGTCAAATGAACGCTTGTTTACACCAGCAACGTCAAACATTAAAAAAAAGAAGAAAAAAACAAAAAAACGAGACGACACAAATTTTAGTTTTCAGAAGCATTATGGTAAACTACTCCAAGGCTTGGACTTTTAGCGGTCGGATGTTTTGGTGGCGCCGTCGTGTGGTTCCCTCTCGTGACGCCATTACCTTGCCAACAGCAAGTTAGATGGTATTTGTAATGAGCATGGCGGAAGCTTGAAATCATTGCGCTCTGAAACCAACACTCCCAACACCGTCAAAACTGAAGTTCTTACATTCCTCTTATTTCCATCGATGAAAAATCCTTTGCAGACGCCATAAGCTAACATTAGGCGAACCGTAGAAGGCCACACTCAGCGATGCTTTTGATCGCGCAGATCGCTAAGATATATAGTAACACCACAATATGCATGCTATCAAACAGCCACGTTCAGCAGTTGCAAAAAATAGGGCTGGGCGTGAAGTTAAAGTTACCCGATTACTCGCCACCCTTTGGTCGCTTAATGAATCGATTAATCTGTTTCCTTTATTTTCATGCATATTTCTTTAAACAGTCAACATTTCATTTTCTTTTTTTTTAATTTATGTCAAATATTTTATAAACGGCGCAATCAGTAACTTGGTTTATGAATCAGTCTCGACATGAAGTTACGAACAGTTCAGACACTCACACACAGTGGCGTTGCCGGGGGGGGGGGGAGGCTTATAAAGCTTTAGCCCCCCCCCCCCCCCCGTCGCTTCCCCCCCCCCCCCACGGGAAAGTCCAGCCGACCCTATACGTACATACACATACATTTTGATGCCCCCTCCCCCCTTCCACACCCCAAGTGAAGGACATCATGGCCACCTCAGCCACAGCCCCCTTCCACCCCCCCCCCCCCCCCCCAAAAAAAAAAAAGAAAGAATTACGCCACTGCTCACGCTCACAGATAATTACTTCAGCTACATGACGCAAAGAGGTTCGTTGATATTCTCCGGCAAGTGCGATCTCCTTTGATTATTCACAATAGTCTCTGCGGCGCTAAACGGACACTCGAACGGCGTTGAAGTGGTCGGGACAAGTGTAACCTTCTGCACCCTTGTCAGGAGTTACAAATCTCGCCCCTACGGTTTACAATATTCTAAACCTTCTTTTTCTCTAAAGTTTGCCATTTGTACGATTGTACCCGTCCACGTTTACGTGG